ACACTGACACACACAGATGTCCACATACATAAACATACACACTGGCACACACAGATGTCCACATATCTAAACATACACACACAGATGTACACATATCTAAACATACACACACAGATGTCCACATACCTAAACATACACACTGGCACACACAGATGTATACATACATAAACATACACACTGGCACACACAGATGTCCACATACATAAACATACACACTGGCACACACAGATGTACACATATCTAAACATACACACACAGATGTATACATACATAAACATACACACACAGATGTCCACATACCTAAACATACACACTGACACACACAGATGTCCACATACATAAACATACACACTGACACACACAGATGTCCACATACATAAACATACACACTGACACACACAGATGTCCACATACATAAACATACACACTGACACACACACAAATTGCAGCTTCCATAATGTTAAGCACCCTCCCCTCTCCCCTCTGCTTAAATACCTTTTTCTTTGCAGGAAGGTGACTTCTTGAGGCTGGCTGAGCCTGATGGGAGTCTGAAGCCGCAGAGCTCTCTCTCTCCTCCCTCCTCCTTCTCTTCCAGCTGCCTGTGTCTTCTCTCCCAGCTGCATCCTGGGTGTTCTCAGCCCGCGCGGTCTGTATGCTGGGAGGAAGTAACAGTCACTTCCTCCCAGCACTCCCTGCAACTTTAAAGGGGCCCGGTCTGCCAAAGGGCTGCAGCACCCGACCGAGCCCCTAATGAGGTCGCTCAACTGATGGCAGCTGCACTATTTTCTCGGGGGGGGCAATTGCCCCGTTGCCCCCCCCCTGGATCCGCCACTGACTCCAACCCCCTCTCAAATGGATAATTCTGGTGATCCTCCTGACAGCCTTGCTTTAGATTTTGAATTATGTTCTTCCAAAGCTAAAATCAAAGATTCCATCTAGTGCTATTTTACGGCTCAGCTGTATTTTAAATTTGTATGTATTTTATGTTATTTTAAGTGATTTCCCTATCCACATTTGTTTGCAGGGCACTTGTCCTACTCTTACCCCCATTTTACTTCCTTTTGCAGCCCTCTAGCCCGAACCCGGACTTTTTTTTTAAGTTCGGCTGAACCCGCCGGACCCGAACATCCAGGTGTCCGCTCAACTCTATTGATTAATACTTCTACTATGAGGTGTAAGTTTATCCAGCAAAAGCAACTGAGAACTTTGCAAGGACCATAACTATCTTATTGTTTTCTGTTGGCATAACTAAATTGAAGTCCTATTAGGTTCCTTTTTATATTTAATTTGTTTGATTTTTCCAGATTATAATTTTGTCTCTGAATATTTGGATACAAGCACACAGCTAACATATATCTTTATTTTTAAAAATTTTTTTACAGTTTGTAAAATAACATTGCATGATACAAATTAAGTTACCGCGCACACATAAAAATACACTAATAATCTTATCAGCTACTTAATTCACTTATCTTAGAAAATATGGGGATTCAGTTCCACCATATGGCCATATTGTGTTAAGCAGACGAGTACTTCACAGTTCCCCAATATTGGTGGGTCCTACACTAAATCCAAATGTGGGAGACAACTTAAATAGTGCTAAATAAGCTAACATGTATTAAGTTAATATAT